GGACACGAGCGCGTAAGCGCACGTATATATGGCATAGGCACAGCTGTACGCGTACAGGGGTGTGCGCACACGCTGACACCCACTTGGAGAAGCGTGCGTGTGCGTATACATATGTGCAGGCGTGTAAACAGCGGCAAAGGTGCGTGTGCGCAACCCCTGCACACATACACACCTATATGTGTGCAGCACATGCATGCACACCTATACACATGCAGCACACAGACACACCTATACACATGCAGCACACAGACACACCTGTATATTTGCATATGCGCTGTATACAGGTACCAAAGAGCAGGAGAGGGCTCATCCCTGGCCGCAGGGGAACCCTGGTAGGATCCTGGTACCCCCCTGCCTGCAGGGACTGTGCAGTGCTGATGAGTGTTAAGCTTTAATGGCAGAACTGAACAGGAATTGCCCGGTGTCCCCATGTCGCACTGGCCTGCCAGTGGGATGGGGACTCAACCCCCAGAAAAATCAGTTTTCTGCCCCCATCTGCCCACAGGGCTCGGTGCAGATGGACTGGCAGTGGATGCTTGGATGGGGGTCCCTGGTAGGACAGTGTCTTCCTGCTGGCACCCCATCGTGACTTGGAGGGCTTGAAGAGGAGGGGAACAGGAGCGTGACAGTGGTGGCAGAGGGGGTCCAGTCGTGGCCGGGAGCCGTGGCACTGTCTTGAGCTGGGGGGCCAGGAGCAAGTCCCAGGGCTCTGGCGAGGTGGGGGGCTCAGCAGAGCACACAGCCCCTCCTGGATCTCCTCCTGCGCTGTCTCCGTTGGGTGGCGCTGAGGGCGGCACTGCAGGCCTTTGTGAAGATGTCCACCAGATTCTTCTGATACTTGGCCGAGCACTCAAAGTAGGACACCGCATGGATCTGCCGGGCCATGGCCTCTCCCTGTGGGGAGCCATGGGGTCAGACTCCCCTGAGGGCCCCAGCTCCCTCACCACCCTGCGCTGGGGACATCCCTGACCTGTCAGGAGGTGGCACTTGCCTGCTGGTAGGAGATGGGCTCCAGGCGTCCCTCCTTCAGCTTGCTCAGCACCTCCTGGTCCTGCCGCAGGTCAGTCTTGCAGCCCACCAGCAGCACTGGGACACCCTTGCAGAAGTGGTTCACCTCTGGGTACCACTGCCGGGGACACACACATGTCACCCAGAGGATGGGGACATGGGATGGGCAGCAGCTCCAGCTCCATGCCACCTCCTACAGGGAGGACACACAGGAGGGGACATCTTCCCTGAGCGCTCGGTTACCTTCGTTAGGATGTTGTCGTAGCTGCTGGGGTTGGTGATGTCAAAGCAAATGAGGACAACGTTGGCGTCAGAGTAGGACAGTGGGCGAAGCCTGTCGTAGTCTTCTTGTCCTGTCAGGTGGAGAAGCACACCATTACATACCAGTTCCCTACTGGGCTGGGCCCCCTCAGCCTGGGACCATGGCTGCCCCTCCAGCCTGGGGACACCATGGGGCTCTGGGGACAGAAAAGCAGCACTGCTGGGAGTGACATTCTTGGGGTCTGGCTGTGAGTTAACCTCCCACCTCCCACACCCAGTGCATGGGGACACCTCTCCAAAGCATTATCCATAGGTGTGAGACACCCCCAAACCCATGGGCTATGGGGGGCTACACGACTGCCTGCCCCATCCCCTCCTGTCCTACCTGCTGTGTCCCAGAGGTGGATCTTCATGGGCTTGCCACCAACCTGGAGCGAGGCCGTGTACTTCTCAAACACAGTAGGGACGTAGACCTGGCATGGGACATGGGGAATGTGACACAGGTCCCACCTACCCACAGTCAGCAGTGAAGGGCAGCAGTGGAGGGGACTCCCATGGGGAGGTGTGCACAGGACAGGGCACAGGGAGGTACTGGGGTTCAGAAGACAAAAACAGAGGCAGGAGATGGTGGTGCCTTCCGGGGGCAGATGGGGGCCACCCGGGTCCCCCCCCCCGCCCAGGGCAGCACTGAGCCTCAGCAGGATGACCCAGAGGGCCCGAGGGAGGGGCTGGGACAGAGGTGCCGGATTATCTGTGGGCTCCCTCTGTCCCAAAACACCCCTCAGGTTCTCTTACATGCCCTAGCTGTGGAACAGACCTTGCTCCCTGTCCCATGTCCCCCCAGATGAGGCAGAGGTGCTCATCTGCCTGCTGAGGAGGACCTCCACCAGCCCCAAGCTGGGCCGCCCTTCCCTGCCGCAAACATCCCTGCTGCCACCGCTGTGCCCGTCCCCTCCCGTGTCCCCTGCCCGTCCTGTCCCATGTCCCCTGCCCTTCCCTCGTGCCACCGCTCCCGGAAGCCTCCCTCAGCCACAGGGGACCCCACCCGCCACTGAGTCCCTCCGGGGCTGTGGTCCCAGAGGGCAGGGACATTGGTACCTTGGGGAAGTCCCCCCTTGCGAAGGCCACCAGCAGCGACGTCTTCCCGCAGCCCCCATCCCCCACGATGACAGCCTTG